CGGGCAAATGCCTCCGTCTGCTCTACATGCTCGCATATCTGTGGAAAACGCCGCCACGCCGCGCGCTGCCGACGGGAAACTGCGCAACTTCCCCCACTCAGGTCACGCCACGGATCCCTCACCGGCCGTCACGGGTCGTCACGGCGCTGCAGGACGGGCGCCGTGCCGACGTGCGGCCGCCCCCGCCCCCGCCGCCGCCGCCGCCCGGCGGATGACCCCAATTGCCACCGGCCGGAGGAGCGGCGACCCTCAGCCCGGTTCAAGCAGGCGGCCTTTCACAATCGGTCATCTGTGCGCTCGCGCGACGGAAGCGGGACGGGCGGCTGAGGCGGAAGGGTGGTGACATCACAGGCAGGCGGCCGGGCCGGCTCGGAGACACGTGGGTCGGTCCGGCTTTGTGAGCGGCTGCAGCGTGTCTGCGTCTGGATAGACGGCGGGGCTGACCCGGCAGGCACGGTGGCTGGGGTACGGCAGCGGTTTTGGGTGATTTTGAGGTCCTGAGATTGGTTCGATGGTTTTCTGAGCATTTAGGTACATCTCAAGAGCCAAATGACTAGGGCCGTTTCCCAGGACTGTTATTGGCCGTATAATTAACTAGACGTAACATGTCTGATCTCCAGACTGTGATTTAGTGCAATCTTTGTCATTTGCGGGATACGGAGAAGTCGTATTCGCGAAATTAACAATGTGGGTTGTTGCCCTGCTGACTGTGGGCGCCTTTGTCACCCGCTGGTGTTCAGCCGGGCTCAGCCAGGGTAGGGGAGAGCGGGGCCAGTTGAAACACGGGGTCAGATGAAACATGGCTTTATTTTCAACAGTATGCAACATATGGCGCTGCCGACACCACTGCGCATCCGCGCTCGACCAATTCCTTTGTCAACGGCGTTTGGGCAGCAAGCGGACGGCAATTTTGATTTGACACTTGTTTTTGTGTTTTTGAGGGGCGTTTGGGAGAAATCGTTTTTATGAATATTTTGTGATATCTCATATACCTTTGTTTGCTGAAAGAAGAACTCCTGGCTCCGGAATAACACCTTATTTGGCCCTTCATTCAGCATGATGCCGTCCCTCCAGCTCGTTTAACATGTGCTTTACGGCGCGTGCGAGATGGCGGGAGCGGATGGGGTCAATTGAAACGCTTCTCTGAGGGTCAGTTGAAACAGGGCCACAGGCCGTTTCAATGGACCCCGGTGGCCTTTGCAATGGTTATTGTTCAGGGGCTGTAAACATTAAAGGAAATAGTCCACCTTTGAAATGAGCTTTTAAACTGAAATAGTAGTTTAATAGAGCTCAATTTTTTACCCCTTTTTCTCCAGCCTTTTGCTTGAAAGCACACTATAGCCTGAGATATTTCTCATTTTTCTCATCCGCCCATTTTACCATAGTCTATGTACTTTATGTCACCTATTATGAGGAACTTTGCACTTTTAGCTTTCCAATGACCTATTGAATGTAGCATTTGGAAAAGTAAACCGGACAAAATATCTCCTTAAAAAAGTGGCCTTAAAGAGGAAAACATCCCATTGTTAAGGATAGGTGCAATTGACCCCATGGGCTGGTTCAATTGACCCTCGCATCGGGGTCATTTGAAACGGGCGTAGAGCTGTTTTATAAGCATGCGTTTGGCAGCAAAATATGTTTGAAACATAATTTTGCATATCTTAAAATAAAGCCAAAAGAGCATATTTTTTTCATGGCATTGTGCATTTTTCGATATGACTACTAGATCTCGCTGTGCATGTCAATATATAAAAAGTGGTTCAAATGGCCCCGCTCTCCCCTATATGGCTCAGCCGGCTTAGGCCGCCCGATAGCAGCTCTGTATTTGCCGCGCAGCACCGGCCCGATACCGGCTATCACGCTCCTGTGTTTGCCGTGCGCACCTGTGGGCTTTGTCCCGATGTGGCAAACCGTTCCAATCAGCTCCAACCCATGGCGGTCCCTGTGTCGAGTCCGGGTCTGGTCGGCCGCGTGTGTTTACGGAAATCTAATGGATGTCGAAGGGCGGGTCGCTGCAGTGATCTGTCAAACAAACCCAGTCGTCTTATGGCTGGACAGATAAACAGAGGCGTGTAGCGCTGCCACGAGTTGTGGGTTCCGGATGACCCAACCGAGTGCTGAAAAACCAGCAGACAGCAGACGTAAATCAACTCAAGGGCGCCGATGTCCAGTTTTTGTGGCACTTCTGACACGGTATATGCTGGCGGTGTGAGAATCCCGGCGGATGGTGTCATGATAGGAGCGAACAGTATGTTTACTTTCTCGGTGTCATTTAATGACAGCATTTAGAAGATGCTCTGCTAAGATTTGTTGTATTTAACAACGTAATCCGGTCACTTTGCTATTCGATAACAGGCTTTGCGAAGCAATTTTCCGTCTAGCTTGTCCCCCCGTCTACCCTGTTCATATCGATGAACGAGGTGGCCCAATGACTCAGTCGTGAGTCCCTCGAGTCGGCCGTGACTCAGTCACTATCACTGTGGCCGCCAGGACGGCGCCCGCCCAGACAGATCACCGCTCCAGAACTGAGAACTCTGGTCGGCCGAGACCGATCTGACAAAAACCACCACACCCCGATGACGGCCTGGAGGGGAACGCTGCAAAAAGTCCGGCTCGTCATGGACGGCCGGGGTTAATAGGTGTGTGTGTGTGTGTGTGTGTGTGTGTGTGTGTGTGTGTGTGTGTGTGTGTGTGTGTGTGTGTGTGTGTGTGTGTGTGTGTGTGTGTGTGTGTGTGTGTGTGTGTGTGTGTGTGTGTGTGTGTGTGTGTGTGTGTGTGTGTGTGTGTGTGTGTGTGTGTGTGTGTGTGTGTGTGTGTGTGTGTGTGTGTGTGTGTGTGTGTGTGTGTGTGTGTGTGTGTGTGTGTGTGTGTGTGTGTGTGTGTGGGAAGGGTGGGGGGGGGGGGGTAAAGGACGTCTTTGTAGGTATTCTTCAGATCTATCGACACTTTGTTTTCCATGCCTCATAGTTTGGATGCAGTCGACCTAGCCGCGTCATTCGACCAAATTGTAGAGCTTTTAAGTTTGAGGCGATAAATCGTGCCGAGGCACCCGTCAGCCCCATCATTTCAGTCGGTCACCTCGTCCCGAATTCACGCCTTCGTACCACCCGCGCCTGTTTACTGTAGCCCACACTGCTCTGACGGGTGACGAATCTTGTCCGGCTGCACCAGATAGCTCTATCTGAACCCGTTAGTTTGGGCTTTGACGTCATCAGATCAGAGCACCGCCTGTGTTGCATGACGGTCTAGCCGGGATCAGGTTGTCTCATGCGGTTTATATCGGTACGTGAACTTAAGAGAGGGAGATGTGCTCAGGTTATTTGCGTGTGACACGGTATTGTGTCAGGGACGTCTTGCTTGGTTTTCATCCTAGTCTGACGAGGATAAAGGGACCCAAATCACGTGTAGCTGTAAACGTAAGATCACGTGTCTGAGCAGACTGACGCGTGGGTATAAGGAGCGCGAAGTTTGCCGTTCGTGATGACAATAACCGGGCCAACGTTCGCTGCCTTTGTTCACAAACAGCTCCGAGGCATGCAAGTAGCACTTTGTGCACCAGGCCTGCGCAGTGCAAGACGAGTTGTAGACACATAGGCAGGCGTGGCATTCGGTACGGTAACGGTATACGATCACATCAAACACGTCTCTAACGGTGAGCCGTCTGAGCTGGGTGCCGATTCTTCGGATGCCTGTTCATCATTACAGCGTCAGCCAATTAGGGGATGTCGTGAAGGGATGCCGTAGATATTTCACTGTTTGCCTCAGTTCGATTCAGTTCGCTATGTGGGATGCTTGTTTGCCGATTTGCCGGATATCTCCTGATGCGACTGCTGAATAGCGACTTGTGGATGTCACGCGACCTTCAGCCTGTTTCGCCGACTCCTTTCTCCAGCAGGACTCCGACTTGTTTCTGCGAACTGTGCAGCGTGGCCTTGTCGCATTCCACCCGGGTGTTGGGGTTCACAAGGTAAATAAGCTGGAAGCCACCGAACTGGCTGCAACTGCAGATTACCTAAATAGGCCGGCCATGTGATCAAAAGAGGCTTGCAGGATCATTCATGTGGTTTTCAATTTTTCGTGGCGCTCGTCCACCGCTACATGCCTGCTAAATCGCTGCCCGTTTTTCTGCCGGGGCGCCTTTCCCTGCACGTAGCGCGCGGATTGTTTGGCCACATCGGAACGAGGCCGGCCGTTCGGGCGAATGCCTTGAGGCCTGTCGAAACAAGGAGCGAGTCGAACCATCATTGGGAGCACCTGGCGCCCACGGCGGCGGCGGCGGTGTGGCCCATATCGACTGGAAATGGGCCAGGCCGGGCTGGCGGCCGATTCCTGCCGCCTCGAGGCACTACCTGAGCTAACCACTGCGCCGCTAGTTAGATCTGACAGGCCCGAGGTGGCAGCAGTAGAGACTCGATCGGAACAAATGGGATAGCATGCGGTAGCCGCCCCGCCCTCCGCCCACCGCGGAGTCCGCCCGCGGAAATGTTCCGCTCTGCCGGCGCGGTGCCCGGAAGCGATCAGCTGGCTAGCCACAGGGACGTGATGGATGACCTTCCCCGGGCGGTGAACTCCTAGGATTGGTATGCTAGAAAACCCTATCGTGGTCTGGGTAGTCACTGAAGGTTGTAGTGGACGTCTGTGAGGAAGTGACATTTTCACGGTTCAACGATGATTCGAGTTGAACTCGAATAGCAGTAGGAAATGCCGTGAACAGGCAGCCAGGCACTTATGCGGAAATAGGCTAATCTGTATGTGTTGTTTCCGCGTGTTCTGCCCCTTGCCCTTTTAGGTAGCGACTAGCGCTGATAATACCCAATGCTAATTATTTTTTATCAACATAATCCCTATAGGTACCAGTATTGTTAGCGACTGCACATGGAGCGCAATAGGCCCGTCAAATGCCAATAGTTACATTCCTGCTGATCCGTGCTTAGCACATAGACGTGCCAATGCCATTTGCACCGCACAATTCGATCTAATTCATAATCCTTTTGTTGCAGCAAATCGATTCGGGCTACGTCATCTTGCCAGGCTTTGACCCGGGTCAAACGTGCGACGATGACCTAGCCTCGACGCTGGTGTGCGGCCCGCCCTCCCCGTGCAACGTGGTCTTCACCAACGCCGACATCATCATCGACGGCAAATCTAGTCTCATGAAGAAGCCAAAGACGAGGAAGGTGAGTCGAGCAACTCGAAAGTCCGGCTCGGGGTTTGCTTCAGTTTGCCTTGGGAATTGGGATTACGGGCACATCAACTGACATACCGGAGCCGGTCATAGTCGTTTCACTCACAAGACGTTTTGCATGTGATTTGAAGTGACACCAGCCATTTGGTTTGTCGTCTCGTCGGCCGTCGCCGAATTCCTGCGCTTCCCTAGAAGTGACAGTGTCACCGGAGTTATTTAGGAGCCCTATTCGTACTGTGAACAACACCTGATGGTATCGTGTCTGTAAGTGGGTGAGCGACTATCCATCATCGGTCGAGGCGGGCCTTATCTGCGGCCGGGCGGATCTCCCAATCGGCCGAACTTCGGGGGCTGACAGCCGAACTCCGCGGGGACGCCCTGATACAGGATGTCGATGTAGGAGGATGTCGCGGGGTCACCTGATACCCGGCGAGGCACTTACTGCAGCGGAAAGGGTGCCACAGTTCAACAGACGATGGCGACTCCTTCACAGATTCTTTGTGATAAACCCTATCAGCATGGTCCGCCATCACAAGTGCGACGGAATGTGTGCAGATACGGTGACAGTGTTGAATTAAGTGGACCCCAAGGTCGTTTAGAGCACAACATCTAGGCGGAACAAGTCAGCTTTTCCGCCAAGGCCATATATGTACTGGATTATTGTTTGTTTGATGCAGCCTCCCCAAGGCTGCTGACACTTGCAGAGTAATGCTCTAAACCAGTTGCATATTCCTTGCATGCATCAAAAGCCGTCATCCGCTACAAGTGCTTATCACTGGAGTTTCTTTTATTACGATGTTGACCAACTACCTACATAACTGCACCGTTTGGAGTCGTGCTGAGGCAGTAGCAGAGTCGATGGGTACGCCGTGGCCAACCGGTCAGTGGCCGCTGACCGCTAACCGTTTAGGTACCGTTTATCTTCGGCTAGTGGTCGAAAGGTGGCCTCTGTATAATGCACTGTGGCCCCAACCTGGTACGTTCTAACCGAGCCGTCGGTGCATGCAGATGGGTTGAAATAAGCAGAAAGTAAACACCTTGTAACTGTGCGGCTATCCGTCCAGTGTCGAGACCGTGAATGCTTGACCAAACGAAGTTGAGTTGCAACACCGGTATCCGTTGGAACGTTACAACGTCTCGGTTTTGTCAGTTCATGTCACGGCGACAGTTCACTTCATGCGGCATAGTAGCGTGTGAACGACGGTCCACACAGCTTCCAGCACGGTAGCGGCTGGTGACTACCGGTCGACCAGGTCATTGCAGGTCAAGTGGCATGCCGGGCTGACCACCCGGGCCGACTTATTCCAGTCTCTGTAGGTACGCGGCGCTGCATTGTGAAACGGCGCCTGAAATGTGAACGGGAGCGCGTGGAGAAGCCTGCAGAACAGCTCTCAGTCACGTTTTGGTCGCAAAAAGCGATGGGCGTGAACGGGTAGCTAATTCAGATGATTGCCTCACCAGTCGACCCGAGAGCAGGAGCGCCCACTTGGCGCGTGGTACTGAAAGGTTCTTTGTGTTGAGTTAGGTATGGGTGACGTCAGCAACCAAATTTAGCCGCGATGCGGCTCTCGGCACTCTCAGAGAACAGCTGAGTTTTATCCTTTGAACGATGCTTAATCCCTTCTCGTTATCAGATGCGGATGGCTTTACACGGAAAAACGCGCTTTGGTATTCCACCGCCTTTTTTGCAATTAAGATTCGGCCTATGTAGATGAAGCAGATATTCAGCGCAGTGCTTTGCTTTCTTTGCACATGTTGGATTGTACAGCTGCGAGCAAGCTGCGAGTTCCTTTTCATGGGTAGACGGGATAAATGTAGCGTTTGTGTCTTCGGGTCTTTTGCGAATGTCGTTTCATTTTATTCTGCTGCTACGTAAATTTGGATTAGCGTTGAGGTAAAGGATGCATCCATTAACCCTCGCCCGCACATGCCATTTTCCCATCCTAGAACGCACATGGGGGGGGGGTGGTTGCCACCCCCCCCCGCGCCATTTCGTTCCTGTTGGAGATAGAGCTTAGCAGTAAAGACCAAAAAGATTCTTTGGGAAGAGACGAATCCAATGATACCCAGTTTTACCTTCTCAGGTCAGTCATTGACCTTCCAGGTCAGGTCAAACTAAAAAATGCTGCTGTTTTGGGTCACCGTTGGATATCAAGTGCGCTGCTTATCAAATACCGATGACGATGCTGTTTTCTGGTGCCAAGCCAGCTAGAACCTCTTTGTCACACTATCCGACCAGAATTTTGCTGCTGAGGTCATTTCAGGTCAAGTTAGGTCAAGGTCAATTATATGTGTTTGTATGTCTGTGTGTGTCTGTGTGTATACTGATGTGTGCACCGATTGTTTTTGGGTCCATATCACATGAAATCATGATCTGAGAAGCTTTTACCAAAAATGCAGTCAAAAAAACTTCACAAAAAGTAAATTCAGCTTGCCTAAAACGCAATTATCTTAGATGACCTAGGTTGACCTTGACCCTGACCTTGACCCCTGTACATCGTCGAACAACATGTTCCATGATAGGTGGGAGGTAAGACTGGCAAAAAAGGCCGAAATCAGGGTGTCAAAAGCTCACAAGGCCCATGGCAAACGCAAGATGTTGAGAATTGGCCATTTGGGTCATGACATGACCTGAAAAACAAGGTCATATCTCCGAAACCAAAAATCACAGAAACTTGAAATTTTCAGTGGACATCAAGAAAGGATAGACGAGCAGCTATACGAAAAATCAGCCTTCTAGCTCTAAAAATGTTGAGTGCAGAGCAGAAAGACTGCCTGGGGGGGTGGCAACCACCCCCCCCCCCCCATGTGCGGGCGAGGGTTAAAAGAATGGCCGGAAACGCCAGGAAATGCAATAATTGCAGTGCAATATGTCTGTCAGCAAAGGTTTGAAGGCTGGGCGCTGCCCTGACAACAGACCGCCGTGCTGGTCTGGTGGAACGGGCGAGGAAGCGGCGGTCAGCCGGCGCGGCCGTGTGTGGGAACGGGTGGCTCGTGCCACTTGGCTGCCCGTGTGCTACTATCGGCGCCGGTGCCGAGGCCGACGGATGGAGCTGCCGGCCGGTCAGGGTGAAAAACGCCCTCGGCTGCCTCCTGCGGTGTCGGATGGACAGGGCTGCCAGCGGGTGCTGAAGTGGTCGCCGGTCTCTGCGCCGTGCTGCGTGCTGATTACTGTGTTTGTGGGAGCGCCGACGTCTCTCGCTGACCCACACAGCCGACCCGTGCCCCGTCGGGTGAGAGTGTTTGCGACACGCGACCGCAGGTTCTGACCTGCCCTCAGCCCGTCGCGGTGTCTCTCAGCCGTCTCTGAAACCGAAACGACCAGACAGCGACCTAACACGCGACACGGGAGAAGTCACACTTTCACGCAGCAGCCGTCGAGCGCCATGTGTCTCTCACTGTGGTTTGTAGCTGTTCAGTGACCGTGCACGACCCGGTGACCTGCCTGGGATGCCGGAGATGTGTCGGGAGGCGCGACAGCTGCAGGAAGTCACAGATGACCTCTGCGACCTGCGGCAGACACCAGACGGTGTGCCGAGCCGCCACCGCTCGACGACCTCTCCCGGAAGCGACGTGTTTCGAATCTCGCTCGTGCCGCTCTCTGCTGCCGAGCGTGCAGTGTGGTGCTTCCTTTCATTCTTTGGGGCCGGGGGACGGCAAACCTGGGTATTGTTCTCGGTTGTCGACCGACACTGTCATGTGCCGCGGCCGGTGCCGCGGCCGGTGTCGCTGCCGGGGTCGCGACCGGTGACGGTCTGTGGCTCGGCGGTCTGCTGCCCTGCCGGGCTGACTGAGAACTGGACCGTCTACCGCCACCAGCGCTGCTGCGGCCGTGGCATGTGTTTCGCCGCGGCGCGGAGCGGGCTGCAGCCATCTGTTCCGCCAAATGCGGCGCGTTTTTGCGGCCTGGTGCGGCGGTGCGCCGTGTCCGTCCCGAACGGCAGACGGTGCGGCCGGGTGGGGAGCGCCCGCGGCCGCACGACTCTGGTTGGGATATCGGCACTGCTAGAATTTAATTCGGAGACAGACGTGGAAATTAAAGGACCGGGCCAGCCATGACATAATTCGTTGGTGCTGGGGTTGAGTTAGTGATTCTTACGAGTGGAAGTCTCTGAGTGTCAAGCTTGATGACATTGACTTGGTCACAAAATGGTCTACTTTTTTATAGGTAGGTAATGGCTTCATTTTGGTAAAGTGGTTCGAAGGCGACATATTTTCACACTTAAAACCCTTATCTTTATATTGTTGTAATAACTCATCGTTCCTAGTCAGCTAGTTTAACCTGCCTACGAGACTAGGTCTTTTCCCACGTTCGTCGCCGTTTCTTCCACGATACATCACTATTTGGCGGACAATGGACCATCTCACCGGGTCACAGGAAGCCAGAACAATGAACATTAGTAACACTGTCCCTTCTCTTTGTGCCGTCCGTCTGGGCTAACATGTATATCTCCATTCGGCGATCAAGCGGACGTTTCTGTCCGTTTTGTCTCCATCTCCTCGTTTACACCGTCTCCCTCTCCCGCTGGTGTCTCCTCAATCTCCGCCTTCGCCCCTAGTTGTCTCCGTCTCCGTGAGTCGGTCAGCGCCGTCCTCCCGTGCTCTTCCGTCGAGTATTCGGGCGTCGAATGTTCCGGGCACGCCGCTGAATACATTAGCGTACTACTCTGTGGGTCAGAGCATATCAAGTGAGCGATCGGGTTTCCGAGTAAGCGGCCAGTAACGCATTTACAAGTCGGCAATGGTGAGACTGCAGTTCAAACTGGATCAGGTGGTCACTTGGCGCCTGCTCCAGGTGGCCGCGTTTGGAACCGAAGGGAGTATCGGTACCTAAATGGACTGACCTTCGGTGGGGTAGCGACTAGCGAGGCATTTCAAATCACCTCATAGTTAGCCGGAAGGTATGATATAACCATCAACAGCACAGTTACCGTGCGGTTCCCATCTTTCGGTCCAAAAAAGTATGCGTGCGAAGTGGCGTGTCATGCACGCCCGTTTTATGAGGAAATCGTCGGGTTCTCTCACGCACTGTGCATGGCGAGGTAGCTGACGTCCGCATGGTGATCGGATGCCCATCTGTTGCCGGTCTGCGGTGGACCAGGGCGAAAAATGGTCGGAAATCTGCCGCGAGCGTGCATGTCAGGCCACATCGCTGGATCGCACGCAAGCTTCTTTCGGATCACAAGATGGGAACCACAACGTTTTGTTGCCAGACCCCGATTAAGTGTGAAGAATCTATGTTCTTGTCATTTTTGATGATTGTAATCCTTGCTATTTTAAGGGCTCGCCGGTGTTTTTCACCTTCCTTGCGATGTTATACGCCTGTCGTGCCGGTTGGAATGGCGCCGGTCGCCAGTGTTGTGGATCGCACGATCCGCTGTGGCCGGGGGCTGTTTACCCGGCCCGGGCGTCCCTCCGCGACCGATCGGTGATAGGAGGAAGGGCGGAGCGCCGATCACTTCCCTGATCCCGTGACGGCTCACTGGGCAGTGGGCACCGCTCACACAGGTGGCGATATTATTAGATAAGAATTGCATAACGGTCACTACGCGGCGGCGAGAAAGTGGCTTGCGCCATCTGCGGCTCTCTCCGGACATCTAGGGGTCCACGGCACTGGACGGGTCCTGGACCAGTTCACCGGAACTGGCAGGGACGACCGGAGGACGGAGAGATGGTAGAGTTAGCTGAAAATCCCGGCACTCTGAGGAGTCCGATATGCTTGGTATGACCTGAGCTGACATGCACGATGAGATTTCAGTGCATATTCGTTTCATGTTCAAAGTAGCGCGTTAGTAAACGGCCCGATTGTAACGGCTGACCCTAAGCGTCGTTTATGCGCTGATCTTCCTATCCCGATTGACGGTAGTCGGATAACTGCGTGCCTTCAGTGGAGTCTCCTCTGCCGTCGGTCGGTCGGACCGGACCAGCCTGCCCTCCAGACCGGAATCGATCCGCGCAGGCCTGGCTGGCCGACCGGAATGTCCCGGTCGTGCCGGCGCACAACTCTCAGATCCGTAACGGCAGTCGACCGGCCCGGCGGTCTGCAACGTATCGGTGCCCCTTCAGTGGCCTCTACTGACCTCATTTGACCCAGAGAAACCTTTGGGGGATTTAAGGATAGTATCTGATCGTCTCAATCAGCCTCCAGTGACTTTGAGACCTTGGCTGACCTCAGGTGAACTCTTGTGACCTCGAACGACCCCCAATGACCTTGCCTGACCTCGTCTACGAGGTCCTCCCGGCCAATGGTCTCGGGTGGCACCACAAGCGACCAACCAATCAGCTGATGTCACAGATAAGGCTTATGTTGGCCAGAGGCCTGTAGATGGTTCCGCTTGACCGCTCTCAACGTCCGCCCGCGAGACGAGACGGTGGTTAGATGGTCTGAGAAAGTTCGAGGGTCCTAAGCGTTTGGTGAGAAACACTGATCTTCTGGACCTTGAAGTGCGAGACCTGTTGTTTTGTACGGTTTGAGGTAACATGTCTGATCGAGTTCAGTGCTTAGTGTACCTATCTGCAAAGGTTCGGTGTGACATGATTGCCTTGTGTTACATATTGACATATATTTCAAAAGTAGGCTTATGTCCACCAATATCTGCAAGGGTTGCCTCTCTGGTCTTTTTCGAGTCCGTTGTGACTGTGACTGGACCATCCGGACCGCGCCGTCGGACCATCCGGACCGCGCCGTCGGACCATCCGGACCGCGCCGTCGGACCGGTTGGACGCCTCGCTGCAGCTCCGCCACTCCTCTCGCTGGCCGCTGCACCTCTCTGTCGTGACAGTCGGGCGCTGCACTGACCGACCCGGCCCAGCCGACCTCTCAAGGTGAACCCTTCAGCAGGGCGTCCTTCAGCCGACCATCATGACGCGCCGTACACAAATGGGCGCCGCTGATGGCTGCGGGAGGCATCTGGACGCAGGGTGGTGGATGCTGGACGGCGGGATTGGACGGCGGGCTGGACGATCTTTTGGCGACGGGTGGAACAGCTGTTGGAGCTCTCCGCCTCCGGTCCTATTCTGACCTTGGAGAGCGGCAATTACAGCCTTTGTGTAGAAAACGGTCCGTTGACCCGCGTGGATGCTTGCATCGACGGCAGAAGGTAGGCAGAGATTGTTGATGGACCTGCTGAGTGCTGCTGCTCGAATGCTAATTGCTATTGCTTTTTTCTCTGGCGTCTGGAGTTCGTTTTGTAACACCTTGGCACGAGGCTGGCATCTGAGAGCCTCGACTATCACCCCTTCTATCCTTCTTCCCCCCTCTCTCCCCGTCCTTACCTTCTGCCAACGGTCTGCCGTACCTATGACGTCATCATCTGACCCGGCAGCGGCCGCAGCCTGTAGCCCGATAAGGTGCGCCTCTCACCCCAACAAAAGTGCTGGACGAATGGGAGGGGACCATGTGCGTGGGTCGCCCTTAGTCTCAGAATAACGCTATCGGCACTGCAAGGGCTTCTGTTTGGTCCCTACCGGTTCAGCCGGGATTGGGTAACATCTGTCCGGCGCTGTCTCGTGGATGTCCCGGGGACAGGACGGCGTTTCCGGTCAGGACAAGTCACTGGGTAGGTGTCCCGGGCGGTGTCGGGACAGCCCTCAGAGTGGTCAGGGCTCCGGACAGCCCGTGACAGCCTCCAGACGGGTGCGGACAGGCCAGCAACTCAGGCCGTCAGCAGTAACTCAGCTGTCAGCAACTCAGGCCGGACAGGCCAGCTGTCAGCAGCTCGGACCGGACAGCTGACCGACAACTGACGGACAGGTGGGGAAGGGGAGCGTTGAGTCAGCTGACGGTTTACGCCACCCCTACCTACGCTCCACCCGCCGCGAGGGTTCGCCAGCATCGATCCGCCGGAACGAGGAATGGGAGACGGAGAGGTGCCGGCTTACGGTTTGGGTGTCTGCGAGGGGAGCTTTTTTGTACCGGTTATCCAACTGGTCCAAAATCGATGGCTGCAGACATGGCTCGTGTTACTGGGAACCAAAAGAGAATCAATTTGGAAAGTAGGTACTGCAACTAGGACTGCAACAACCAAGATTATTTTGCAACAACTACACCAAGGTAGAATAAAGGTAAAATAACTGTAATTTGAGGAGTCATGGACTTTGTTTATCTCTGCGGGCCCCAGGTAGAGGACAGGAAGTGGAGGAACCGGGAGGGCAATCAGCTGAGGGTAGATTGGAGAGGGACAGCCGCGAGAGCGCCGGGGAGCTGGTGAAGGGCGCAGACCGTCTGTCGCGTCACTTTCGCTGTCTTCGTGCGTGCCCACCGGACACGGCCGTGTCTGAGCTCGTGTCCGGAGCCGGCGGCGGCGAGGAGTCCGGGTTTCTAGCGGTCGACCGTCACGCATGGACGCCCGCGCCGCGGCCCGCTACACCGCACCACTACTGCTGGCAGTGGTCGGTGGCTGAACTTCTCACAGGAAACAACCATCACCCATGGTGGTCTTCATATCGCAATGGGTGAACTTGTATCAGTGAATGCTGGGTGACTTTGCCAGAAATTGAAACGGATGAGATCGGCGTTGCAACTGAAGTATCGGCTCAACTTTCAGGATCTCAGTCGAAAACTGAGCCAGCTCCCCTTCCCGGACGGGGCGGGTCTGGCTGTTTCATTGATCGATCTTTACGTACCGACGCAGTTTGGGGTCATGACCCGCTCAGCCCGAGGGCAAACGGTCGCCTCCGTCCCCAATGAAACACCCAACGCTGGCTGTCGGGTACGAGCCGTGCATCGTCCGTCGTCCAGCCTCGCTCCGTCTGCATTCCCTGAGTGATTAATGAGGGCCACGTCACCGCCGTATCTCCGAGCTGGACGAATATGGTGCGACGCCGGCGCCGTCTCCCGCCGGCTGCACAACACAGTCGGTCAAACTGCACGGCTGAGCTCCGCGGCCTGAGCGGGAAGACAAACATGGTCCACCAGGAAGAGGGGCTTATTGATTTTAGGTGACCCGCCCGGACTATTGAGGATGGTGCTAACCAGGCTGTATGGGACTGATGGGAATTGGGATGCGATCTGTTGCGTTGGAGTACCGCTCGATGTGAGCGGTAGCTGGGACAATGAATTCGTGTGCTGGAATTATGAATACGATAACTGCCAGGACGACGTGGCAGCACGATAAATGCCAAGTGATTGTAATCAGAAAAGCTTTTGCTCCTAACTCAACGCATGTTTATGTCGGTTGACCCCAGTTTCAAGCCACGTTTTACCCGGGATGAACGGCGACTTTTCACCAGACTGGAGCCAAGCACTGCTCACAGACCGTGTGTTATACGGCCGCTCGGCCCTCCATCTGACGTCCTGTGCTCCCCTGTTTCAGATGGTGGTCTCGTTCAACGTCAGCGGACCGTCCACTCACGAGTACCCCTCCGAGATGTCCCTGCTGGCGCTGGAGACCTCCGTGTCGACCACCGACGGCGACGGCAGCGCCACCACCGGCAAACTCGGTAAGTAGTAGTTGGTGCTTCTGCCACGTTGCGCGAAATCCAGAGATTATCTGCAAACTTTGGTGTTTTGGGCAACGCTCATGGTTCATGGCTGTTACGGATATTGGCATGCGAAGTGTATCTGATTAAATTGTTAGACAGTGTTTGAAATATCGCATGTGAACAGGTGGATAATGAAGCTCGATTCACTGGCCAATTGGCCATTGGCCAAGCATGCGAGCTGTTACCATTTGGTTCGTTTCACCGGTGCTTGTGCTTCCGGGCTGTAGGACAAGGGGCTTATCTCATAGTAACCCCACGTACGTCTGACCACCGTCTCTCTGTCTCCCGCACAGGCGGCCTGGCGAGCTACACCCCGCACAAGCTGTCAACGGGCGCCGACTTTGAGCTGGGCGTGTCCCGGCTGACCCCGGCCGCCCCGACCGCCCGGCCGGCCGAAAATCCAGAGGACGGCGACCAGTTTCTGAAACCGGCCGACGAGTCAGAGACGGTCACCTGGAGTTCCGAGACGTCTGCGGACATTCTGTTTTAGCGGCGCCCCGCGCGCGTCCGCCCGTTCCGTGTCGGCTGTTTTAGTTAGTGGGCGGCCGAGCTGCCGCCGCCTGCGTATCGAGAGTACGGCTTGTTCGATGTCGGTAGAAGCGCTGATGGATGTCGATGGCGCCGCCGCTGTCGTGTGATGTTCGTTCGCGCCGCCTGTGTTCGTTCCTGATGAACCGATATATTTATTGTATAGACTGTGCAAGATTTTACACGATTTTATGATGTATTTCAGATGATCATGATAAATATAGATGCTTTACAATGCTATGCGTTGATGAGTCTGCAAAGCAGTGTTATTTTGCGAATGAATGTCTTTATCGCTGCTGTTCTGACAGTCCAAATAATAATGAATACAAAATGCATTTGCATCATCACAATTCACAACATACGTCCGTGATGAACACAGTTCATAAGCCCTCCTCGTCCGGTCCTATTGTCCCACGCATGTGCATCGGGCAACACATAAGTTGCCGCGGAACAGGCGTTGTCTGTTCCATTCACCTGTGCATCTACCGGGTGTGGCTAAGGGCTTATGGGGAGGGACCGAGGAGACAATAACTGAGCGACGTGCCAGACAGCGTCGCTATCGGGGAACACAGGGCCCGATCGTCCAGCGACACGAACTGACATTGAGGCCGAATGACGTCGGGTGTCACGGAGGCAGTAGTCACTCGGTGGTCGAGAATTGCTGATCTGAGGACGCAGTAGTCGGGGATTGCTGATCTGAGGACGCAGTGGTCGGGAATTGCTGATCTGAGGACGCTGCGAACGGTGCACAGCTCTCGCTCTCGGGCCTGCTTTCAAGTACAGCAGTCTGTTGAAAACCTACGCTCACAGTACGATGATGATGATGGTGATACTGGTGACGACAATACGAATTCTTATGTGTACAAATGGTCAGCACAACACAGCAGACTTGTCCCCCGGTTTCGCACTGACCGATGATCCCACCTTTCTCGCCAAGCGTAGACAGCGCCACCTTCCGAGCAGCACCTGCCGCGCCTGGCGGAGCCGGTCAGCGCCACCCGTGACCCACCCGTCCGCCGCGGTATGTACCTACCGAGCGAACATCACTTGCACAGTCCCGAGTAGTACTCGTCCTCGAGCTCGTACAGATCGCGCGCCATGTCATCCTTGAGCTCGGTCAGCTTCTTGTCGATCTCCTGCTGCGCGCCCAGCGACTGCCGCGAGTGCTCCGTGATGGCGTCGTTCAGTGATGGGAAGTCGTTGAGAATCAGGTACTGTTTGATGTCCGATATGAGCTTGGTGAGCGACTCGGCAGCTCGAACCTGACCCGGAGACAAGGCCAGCTGGCGTCAGAACACAATGAAGGTATCACAAGTGCCTGGGTTGAAAGTTGACTGCGATTTGAAATAGGTACGGCCACGACCAAAATGGTAGGTACGACGGTACGAAGGTACGATCCAAATGACTGGTCTTCATAAGCAGGAATCATCAATTGCCTAAATGGACGGTAAAACAAACATTTTTTTGGAGAATTTTCGACATCATGATAGAACTCCCAAGGAAAACATTTGCACAGTACGCCTCACAACGCATCTGGTCCAGGTCTTCATACACTGCCCTCAAGCTTTGGCCACGTCCCCGTTTTTTTTTTTCTCTCTCTGAAATGTATCCCTTTCCGGCGTTTCGATCCTGGCGTCTATCGCCCCCGCCCATGTCTCACAATGTTGGCCGCTCGGACGTGCATTTCAAACATGTCTTGGCCCGACTGCGTCATTCGGGAAACCTGAGTCTCGTCTTCCACTTTTCCCAGTTTGATAATCTCTGAAGGCAAAAGGGGACAAGTCAATGTTTCAACACATAGCAGGAGCCCAGACAATCCAGCAGCAAGACTGGGCTCTGAAGAACTCTAGCTATAGATGACTAATCAATGTGTACCACTCTTAGTAGGTAGTTCATCAAAGATGTATGCCCCAAAGTATATTGGACTCGAAATTAAAAATAAAAAGGTAAATGAAATGCTCCAGATTTAACTACATTGGACATTGGACAAGCAGAGTGAGCTGAAGTCACTTTACTATAAAGGGAATGTTTCTTAACAAATTATCGCAACAAATTTGCCTTATTTGGGATTAAGGAAGAGTCTTTTCTAAGATTAGTCAGAACATGATCTCACTCTAAGGACCAGCATGGAATGCAGCTTTGAGAGCAACGGCTTTGTTCCCTAAAAGTCAGGGTCACTGGTTAGGGAAACTCAGCTAAAGCAGGCAGTTTGGCTCAACTTTGATGACCAATGTCAAACCAAACAAAATTATTTAACAGTTAAGGTGACATGAAACAAAACTTATATTCAATAGCCTGAGTCTGATAAATATAAAGAATTACAAGGCTTAAGAGGTGAAACAATAATCAACTAACTTACCAACAAAGTTGTCTAGCATTGACTTCACATCATCTTTAAGCCTCTTGTTGTAGGACTTCAGTAGTGCTTCTTTACTCTGTGGCAGAGCTCTTTGCTGCGCTGATGCCATTTTCAATTCTGAAAAGCAACAACATCAATAATACATCAGGCAATAATTATACAAAAAGACAGCAGATTATGCCTATTCCCATTAGCCGCATTTGAGTTATACCTACCTATTCTAGAAGGTTCAGATCTCTGAGGCTCTGAGGTAAGATAATATAAAAAGATTAGGTTGGTAGGATTTACACTTTCAAGCTTTAATCAAACATAGTGCACACCATTTTAACAACCAAAAAAAAAAACTACTCTGCTGACATCATTTATTATCAATAAGCAAATGAGCAGGTTATAAATTACCCATGATATAATAACAGCTGTATGATTGTGAGTTCAGGCCCAGTCCAGAAGGTTGTTTTATGGGAAATTGTTTTTATCAGTACACAACCAGTTCTGCTATGACAATTAATGGAAGGAGCAGATGTAACAGACAATGTTACCTTTATGATGTAACAGGAGTAAGGCAGGACCAAATTAATAAGTTCTTACATCTAGTTAACTGGTGTGTTTTGGGTTAAATTCAGGACACATTTGTTGATGTTCTTTATGAATTGAGGTAGGTACAGGCCAAATCAATGACTATCGAGGTGGGCTGGTCACTTTCTCTAAATGGTTATGTTGAATAGTTACTTTGCATGAAAAAATATGAGCTCCTGCCTCCTAAAATTTTTGCTGTTTGCATAACATGACCTATGTGGTCATGGCAATAGCATGGGAATGAAGGAGCTGAAGTACAACAGTACAAGCCACAGTCAGAGATGCAAACATCCCCTAGTGTTTGATTATAATAAGATTACAAACTATTGTGAACTTATCTAAAAACCTAACACAGTTGTATGTGATATAACGTTTCATTGAGCTCAGCAGGATGAATATGAATAAAAGTGCTAGGTTTGACCTGTCATTATGCTCATAGCATTAGTGAAATCAATTGAAAGAAAGTCCAATGGACTGCTGTTAGCATATCATGCAAACAGCAGCAGAAACAGTAGCAGCAATAGCTGCTGTCCAATGGACTTTCTTTTGATTAATTTCACTAATAACGTTTTTATTGAAAACCTAACACTTCAACTTAAAATGCATGTCGCTTTTGGAAGATTATTCTTACATTTTTGTTGGCACAATTATTCAAGTTGCTAGTTTTTTTCAAAAGGTGTTTGGCTCCAACCAAGTAGGTACGTTTTTCAACCAAGCACGCGTTTTAGCCAGCAAAACGGGCAAAAACTGAACCTGGGAAACTTGAATGTTGCCTTATATTAACATGTGAATTATTCCCGATAAATTACAATTTACATATGTACGTTTTGGAACTAAGCATGAGAACAATGGTGACGTCATGCTGTGGAACTAGCATTGCAATGTAATGTATAACAATCATGGAAAGAACCGCTTACTCAATTTGGGCCTCGCCCTCGGTAACAGTGAAAAACGAAGTTTTCCCTAAATTCGTTGGCAATTAATGCTTTCTTGCGGACATAATTGAGTGCCAGCTGCCACCAAAGACGTCATCATAGTATGCTCTTGTTTGTTTGTTTGTTTATTGGAGCTTTAGGGCGCGCAGACTGCTGGGGTCATTTTGCGCCCACATAGAATGCTCATTTTTAAGACACAATTTCTATGTATTTACCAAGCATAATTTAAAATCGATCATTTTTACGGTAAAAAATTATTAGCCAGACGCTGAAGTTGCTAAAATTCACGTGAGAGCTTCGATAATGCACTTGGAGGCTGGAGCCAATCACCTTTTGAAAAAAAAAAAACAATAAAAGCAATTATGTTGCAGTGATATAGAATAGATCACTGATCAATCCAATTCCAGCGCCTGACCCTGGAGTTCTTTAGCCTTAGCCTGAACTAACCCCAGGACTCTTTTTTGGAAAGGATTTGGAAAGGATTTCCTTTTATTGTTATTGTAGATGAAAACAGCAGGAAACATTGATCACAGCTAAAATACTATTTTCATATGTACCTCTTGAACTTTGAAGCTACCTTACAATTTTATCCAGAATCTTCTCGATTATCCTCACTGAACTCTCATAAACGAATTATATATCCTCTATATCCTCATGGATAGCGGGATAGCCTTGATCCTCATTATAGAGTTCAGTGATATATCCTACTGTTTTTGTTTTAGTGGCCCTAACTTTTTTGTTCGTCATTCATGCGTCAGAAACGCTTTCAGTAACCTATTGCTAAAAAACTGCAGTTAGCACGGAACTAATTCGCTGCCCTAAAATGTATGTCCCGGCTTCTAAAACATACCTAATCGCCAAAATATATTTCCAATTTCCAAAATATATTTATAGTCACCGTGTTGATCGCAATGTATGAAAATACACTTAAGGTCATCAAACATTTACCAAATAATCTTTTTGTCGTTAACGGGAAAAGTTCACTTTCCTGAAATTAGTTTTTACAATGGATTTATTATTTTTTGTGTGCTCAAAATGATCAGAAAATAAAATAAAACCTTCCTATAAAAGGAATATTTGCTAAATTTTAATAGAGGAAGAACTATATTCTTTATCAAATAATGCTTGACAGTTGACGCGGAAGCTTATCACGCCCCAGCAAACATGCCGACGTCGGCCCGACGTCGGTTCAACTTCGGCCCGACATCGGCTGGACGTCGGCTATGCCCGCATGTTCCGACGTCCAGCCGAAATCCAGCCGACGTCGAGCCGACGTCGGGCCGAGGTCGTTTGCCGAGGTTGACTTGACGAGATCGTTGTCGTTGGACCGACGGGGCCGGCGTCGGCATGTTTATTGGGACAACGCGCCA